CGGCCCCGAGAAGGCGCAGTCAGGCACGAAGGTCTGGCGTCGGCGCTCGGCGCACGCGGGGCCGGAGCACGGGCAGAAGAGCAGCGCGTGGGTGAGCGCGGGCGGACCGCGGGCGAAAAAGTGGCGCAGGGCGCGGCGGCAGCGGGCGCGGGGACAGCCACCCGGCCCCAGGCACTGCGCCACGTACTCGGCGCGTAGCCGCTGACAGCGCGCGTCCGCCGTGCACGCCTCGGCCGCGTCCACGCATCGGTTCCCTCCGGCGGAGCTCTCCGACCCTGGTGGGGGGGCGGCAGGCTGTAGTGCGCCGTGCGCGCTCCATGCAAGCTTCACCCCCGCCCCCAGTCCACGCCTTCAAAAGCTGGGGGACAGAGTGTGTCCCAAAGGCAGGCTCGACTGGTACTGACCGGCCCTCCGTCGCGGGGTTTGGACAGCGGCGGCTCTGGGGGGTCTCTGCAACACCTCAAGGATGGATGGGGCGCGTGGAGGCTGGGCCCGGCCTTCCCCAGAAGCTGAGGCCCATCTTCCCCCAGGTACCGCCACCACCCCCAGTACTGCCACACACATCCAAAGAGGGGTCCACGGGGCTCTTTCCACCCTCACGCGCTCTTCCTGTCGAGGGAACAGTGAGGCTTTCTGGGGAGCTGGCTAATGGAGGCTTATCAGAAATGGCCTTGAGGACAGTGGCCGCTCCTCGTCCTCTTCTTGACACGCCAGGACGCCCGTCCTTTCCTCCTCTCTCCTCCTCCACGTCCACCCCCCCCAACATGGGTGGTTCTGTAGGTTTCTGGTTCTCCTTCCTGAACTTTTCGTGTGTTTCCTCCTGTCCTGTGCGGCGAGCGTCTTACCTCTCCAGTCCTTCCTGATGCTCTTTCTCACGGGTGTAACTCACCCTACCCCATTGTGACTCTGGCTGCCCCCGGCCCCTCCACCAGCCAGACCAAAGAGGATTCCCCGCAAGGGCTCTGGCCATTAGAGAGCCCATTTGGGCCTGGCTGCCGGTGTGGGGATCCAGAGAAGTCTCTGATGGCAGGCCACAGGGCTTTGTCCTGAGCCACAGGACCCGAGGGTTCATCAGTTGTTTCAGTGAAGATGTGGGCTCCCGGGATAGTTGGCACTCCGTGAGGGTGCAGAGAGACACTTGGCACTGCAGAGTCACACAACAGGGGTCAGGTGGGCAGAGGGTGAGCTCTGCCCATATGTGCCACGGGGCACGTCGAAATGGAGCCAAGCCAGGGTATACGGAACTTGGGACTTGGCAGGCCCTTCCTAGGTCCTGGGTCACCAAAACCAGGCTAACTGACACCCCTGCCCCATGCCTCTCAGTGCTCTCAGCCTGTGGGAGTACCTCACCCAGACTAAAAGCCTTTCTGGCATCCCCAGTCTCAGTGAAGGTGCCGAGCCTGGCTACTCACCCATCTTGCTGAGGGTGGGGGGAGCAGAAGTGAAGGGAGGTCTCCTGCCTCAGGGCTGGGAGCAGGACCCTCTCTGGCACTGGCCACCTCTTTTTGGGGATCATGGATTGCACGACAAGGGTGATGGTGATTCTTGCTGTGGCTTCAGCGCCATCTGCTCTGCTGAGGGCAGACGCTGAGGGCTTGGAATGGGTACAGGAATGAAGTGGGTAGACGAGAGAGAGGGGTGAGCCTTGTCCTCCCCTCCCAGAGGCACAGAACAGCAGGCATACTTTGTCCTCTCCCAGCCTTGCCGGGCACACCCTCAGCCACACACACAGCACCTAATGCACCTAATGTCGCCTAAGGTCTTGGACCCACCTCTGCTCTTTTGTTTACCTGTCTTCCTTCTCCAGGAGCACCTTTACTTTGTCTCTACCCTCAAAACAGGGCGTCTCAGCTCCAGGATCTTCTCTGCCATAAACCTTTACCAGATTCTGTACTCCACACTACACCGCATTCCTTAAAGTGACCCCTCCCTCTGCGATGCCCCAGGTGAGGGAAGGGCAGCCCAAGAAGGTGGAACAGCAGATGGGAGGCACAGAGACACTAAAGATGGCAGGAAAGGAGTTGTAAAGCTCCAAGACTAGGGTGGAGGGCTGGGGCTGGGGGAAGGGTAAGAGATTTGAGAGAGGGGAGACAATAGGAAAAAGTTCTGGGGGAAGACGTACCCAGGAGGGTGAAGTGGGGTAGGGAGCAGGGCTCAGCTGAGCCTGAAGGCAGGGTACGAAGTGCACAGCCAGGCAGACTGCCAAGTGTCCCTGCACAGCCCTCTTGCCGGTGCCCCTTCCTACTTTCCGCCTTTTCCCCGAGAATCGCTCTCTTGCCCTCCCACCCTGTCCCCAAGAATCGGAGACAGAGAGACCAGGATTTAGGGTCGGGGGCGGAGACAAGCACTCACCCAGTAGCAATAACAGCAGCAGCACTGGCCCCAAGCAGCGGGCCATGCCCAATGGTTGGCAGCGGAGAGGACAGCCCGAGGCAGCGTCCCAGTCAGACAGGTACCCCCTTCCTAGTGCCTCCTGAGCAGGAGCACAGTGCAAACCCAGGTGCCTGCGCTGACACCTGCGCTCCTGGGCGGAGCCTTTGTGGGGAAATGGCTCCCCACCCCCACTGAGTCCCCACCCGAGGCTATGTTAGTGGTTCCCTTTGAAATCCCTAGTTTAGCTAAGTGTTACCCTGTATCTTAACATTCCTCTTGAACACTTCAACCCATTTCCCCATCCAGGCTCAGTTGCTGTTACCTAATATTTTGTCCAGTCCTTTTCCTAACCCCACAAATTAGCATTCCTATTATGATAATTGTGTAAAACATGCAAATCTGTGGTATAAATACATTTTTACAAAGCAAACTGACACTAACTGATCTGTGGGGACACCTCTGCCCTCTGTGTCTTGAACAGGCTTGGGTACTGGTTGGGCTAGATACAGAAGGAGCTTCTGCTGATTCCTGCGGGAGGGTGGGGTTGGAGGATTATAGAGGAGAACTGGGAAGACTTCCAGAGCTCAAACAGAAAGGCGGCCCCAGGAGCAAATATCTCACATAGGGAACATTCGTTTTTGTCTGTCCAGCATTCTTTTCTTCTAGTAACAAAGTCTATCTCTTCATTCGTGGAAACCTCTCCTTCCCGTCTCAGTCCTTGTGGCTCTGCTGGGTTGGCCTTACCCCAGGACTCCAGGGGAGGGTGCATGATCCGGCCCGGCCGATCTCAGGCTTTAGTGACTGGCTCATGAATGGACACGTGACCAAAGCTAGACAAGTCACAGTTAATTCTGGGACTTTTATAAAAGGGGCAGTCTTTGCATTGGGCTAACTATGGTGGAGGAAGGTAGACCTGCAGCTCTCAGGAGCTTCTTGGGGGACCCTGCCTGAGTAAGTCATCCTAGAGAAAAGCAAGAGAGTGCAGAACCTGACAATGTCCCAGTTACATGAGCCCACAGACTCCTCTTTCATTCAAGCTCATTTGAATTGGATTTCTGTCACCTGAAGCCAGAAGTTCCCCTCAGGGCCAAGGGAGTTCTTTCCCTACATGATTTTTGTTGTCCCTACTGACCTTTAAAACCCAGGCATTCAACGTATATTCTAAGAGCCACAAGCAGCCTGGCTGCCCCTGGCTATGGCAATACTTTGATTTATTTCTTAATTTGTTTCATGAATCGGGAGGCCACAACGGGCTTTGTACTGCTGATAACCATGGCCACTAAGCAAAATGCAAACCATCCTGCCATTGCAGTTGGTTGTGTTTAATTCTAGAAAATCCATTTGTGCTCATATTCTGGTACATGAGCAGAGAGGTGATGAGGGAAAGAAACTCAAGACCAAGCTCTGACTGCACAGGGCAGGTGCTCCCCCACCTGTCTTTGTGGGGGGTCACCACCACTCAGGTGTGAACACCTGCCTTCTGCAGGGTGGGGGTCCTCAAGGTGGGAAGAGTGGAGAGAACTCTCGCATACCAAGCCAGTATTTCCCCTGCCCTAAATCAGCCCAGGACCAGGTACCAGACTAGAGACCGCCCCCATGCCCCAGAGCCCACCACAATTATTCAAACTAGCCAATCCTGGCTGGTCACCCCACCCTGCCTCTCCATGGAGACCCCAGTAAAGACTGTGGCCCAGGCTTCCCCCTTGCTCCTGCCTCTGCCTCCTGACCAAACCTGGTGCTTCCCACGTGGCCCTGCGTGGCACACTGTGCCCACTTCTCTCAGTAACCAAATTCTTTCAATGGCATTAACCTCTCTGTGTTTTCAAGCAGTCACCTTCCATAAATTAAAATTCCACAGTACAACTGAGACAGGAGGGGGCAAGCCTGAGCCACCTGCCTCTTCTCTACTGCCAAAGGAAGGAGGGGTTGAGGCCAAACTTCCTGAATTCTTCACACCCTCTAAAATATGATCTTGCTGCTCCTCCCATCGAAAGGTGGAGTTCTTCCCCATCCCTTTTGGCCTGGCCTGTGACTTGCTTGGACCCTGAGAATGTTACGGAAGTAAAAGGTGTCGGTCATGGGATCTCAGGATGCCTTGCGGGCACTGCTTACACTCTCCTGGGGCAGGGAGGGGTGAGTGAGGCGCTTGCCTCAGGGCCGCTGCTGCTGAGGTTTCCCTTTGTCACATCCCCAGCAGGGCTGGGCATAGCACCATAACTAATCCTGGCATTAGTTAAAATTTTGCTATTTTGTTCATCATGGATTTTTTTTTTGCATTAATTAATTAATTAGTTAATTATTGGTAGCTGGCCAGTATGGGCATCCCAACCCTTGATCTTAGTGTAATAACACTACATTCTAACCAATGGAGCCAACTGGCCAACCCCCTAACTTTGATCTTTTTTTTTTTTCCTTTTTGTCTTTTTTACTGACCAGTAACGGGATCGCAACCCTCGGTGTTGCACCCACACAGCGCTCAGCCAGTGAGTGGGAACCGGTCTCCACATGGGATCCGAACCCTCGGCGGGAGCACTGCCGCACTCCCAAGCGGCGCACTCTCCAGTGCGCCACCAGGCCGGCCCCCTAACTTTGATCTTTTAAAATATTTCACTAAGGTATTATTTATCTTGATTACTTTTTTGTGCCCCCTTAAAATCTGCATCCAAAGCAAGTGCCTCACTTGCTCCCCCTAGTCCTGGTCCTGCTCTCTTAGACCCTCCACGGCTGTCCTGTCACGTGCACAAGCCTGGGCTAGCCTGCTAGAAATGAGAGAGACAGAGCCCATGCATCCCCCTCACCCCAGCCATCAGTCAGCTGGACCCAGAAATAGAAGTGCCTCACTGACCAGCAGTTGCTTGCAGACATATGAGCAAGCCTTGTGAGACCCATCAAACCATCCTGCTGAGCTCAACCTAATTTGCCAATTCACAGAATTGGTGGTTGTTTTAAGCTGCTAAGTCTTGGGGTGGTTTTGTTATACAGCAACAGCTGGCTGATATAGGTCACTCAGCAAAGCTTTCATGAAACAGTGGGAGTATGAGAACGTCCAAGGGAGGCAGGAAGCAGGGCAAAAGGTTATGCAGGCTCAGCAGCGCAGCCTTACGCCCAGACACATGCCTGGGGCTGCAATCTGAAGCTCCACCCACCAGCCAGGGTGCCTCACGGGGTTGACAGAAAAGACTCACAGAAGCCCAAGAACAATGTATCTGTCTGCTGACTTCTACTCTGGTGTCTTTTCTACAACGGCTGCCTTTGTCTCCTCCCACAGAACGGGGGAGAGGTTGGGTAATGTCTAAAGTGAGGGGGCTGCTGCAGACCCTACAATCCTCCAAAACCTCAGGTGGAGGACTAGGCATGGGAGTGGGGGCTTACTTAGCAAGCATCTAGGGAACAAGACAGAGCAGGAGGAGACAGGAAAGAAGGTCCCAACAATTTTGTTTCTTTGCTGGGGCCAAGCTCCAGGGAACTGCAGACTCAGTCTGAAATGTAGGGCCTCAGGAGTTCCAGCTTCTGGTCCTGCAGTCTCTGCCCTGCAGAGCTAGGTCTGAGGATGCACGTGTAGGAGACACACCAGGCTGCCAGGACAGAGGCCTCTCCGGGTGCCCGTCATGATCCAGCCTCCCCTGGGGGGGGGAGGTCAGGGACTATGTGACTTTTGTTCCTTGGACTGATGGATTATTGAGCTGGAGCGTGTACCCTGCAGGATACTCCAGCCCTCAGGGGCAGGGACACTATTGGGCCACTTCTGATGAGGCTCTGAGTTCCAGGAATGGATGGGTCAGTGCTCAACTGGGGGAAGAAACTTCCAAGCTGCCTGAGGGTGCAGCAGGTCCACTGACTTGCTGGCTCTGCCCTGGGGAATCCAAGTTCCTAGAGTGGTTGTCAATGGCCACCTGACTTTAAATCTTCTCATCTCAGTTGCCACCTCTCACCAGAGATAGGACCTTGGCTTCTGGACTTGACCTGTTGAGAATGAAGTGAAGGAGGGGTCATTGCCAGAAGGCTGGGCTCCAAGCTGCAAGTTATGTGGTAGGGAGACCCATCCTCCCTCAATGAGGACCAGTGACTCACAAAGAGCCACAACTTCTCCCTCCCCCATCCCAGGGGCATCCAACATCTTGGTCTCCATGACAACAACTTCTCCAGGTGGTCACCTCTCATCTCCATAATAACCCAAGCCCAGAAACCTCAAAGTAGGGGGCAGCAAGCTGAGGGGCAAAAGAGGTGGATGGATGAGCAATGGGGGGGAGCAAAAGCATCAGGGTCTCCACCTTCACTAGAGGTCAGGCAGGGGACAGGGCTCTGGGACACAGGCTTCTCAGGGTGGCTGTTGGGCTCTGGCAGTGTTCTCAGGGTCTGGGAGCAATGGTGGAGGGTGAATGCTGTGAACACAGTGAACATAAGTCCCTGGGGCCGGGGCGGGGCTCAGGGATGCAAGGTGGCTGGGTGCTAAGTGGAGGGGAGGGGCCTGTCTGGAAGGAGGCAAGAGCCATTGCTTCACTTCCCTGACATCGCCCCACCACCTCACTTACCCTGGGGCTGGGGCTCTCCAGTGGCTGCTGGATCCAACTCCATGGTGTGAACGCTGCCCAGGCGGTGGTCCCTGCATGGGTCATCCTTGGGCCTGAGCAGCGGGAGAGGAGCCAGAGGCTGGCACAGTGACCCTGAGCAGGGCACCCAGAACCACTGCCCATGCAGCATGGTGCCCAGCCCAAGTCGGCAGTGACTGAGCATCCGCCCATCTGCCCCGGGTCATTCTCTCTGGCTCCCTTCCTGCTCCCTCCTGGGAGTAGCCTCTGGGATCCAGGCTCCACTGAAGACTCATGCCCTCCAAGGGCAGCTGGCATCCCTTCTCTCCTGCCCTGACATGTCTCCCAAGCTCTGGCACCACTCCAGCATCTCAGCACCCTCCAGGATGTCCTCCCCCTGTGGCAGCTGCGCCTGTGCTCCTTGCTGTTGGATACCCTGCGGCCCTTGATGATGCCACATCTCCCAGGGCCTTGCCACTTCCTCTGATGTCTCTTCAAAACAGTCTCCACTGCCCTCAAGGCCTGCCCCCTGCCAGTGACAAGATGCAGCCACCACCCCTCTGCAACCTACCAACCCCTAAGCTGACACACCAAGCTTGGACCACCTTGCTCATCTGCCCACATACCCCCATTCATGTGTCCAGGCCCTCTCAGCTGGCACCTGGAGCCTGGTTGGTACCCTGACCTTGTTTGGGATGCCCTCTGCCCCCACCTCCAGCCCAAACTCTGCCCTCTACCTCAGCTTGCCCAGAGCACTCCCAAGGCCATTGTGTCAGAGATGGGCACAGGGTGCATGCCTTGCCCAGGGCCCCAATGTAAGGGTAGCCCGAGGTCGACCATGCTTAGTATTATGTAGCCCCCTCCCAAGTCAGAGAGAACTGGGTTAGGGTCAGGCTTCTAGTACAATTACAGCCACACCATAGCTGACCTTTGTATGGAGTAAAAAGGTGTGCTGGGTCCCACATTTGGGAACTTGAAGGGGGTGACAAGTTATTTGGGCAGAGGAAGTCGCAGAGGGGAGCACAGACTGCATTATGAGCTGGTGGGAAAATGTCAAAGTCATCTGATGGAACAGGAGGGGATGTTGGGGGGGTAGAAAGCCATGCCCTGAGGTGCCAGTGGTGGGGAGGGATCCACGCCATTGGCTTGATTGGGTGGTCACTGGACCTCCGCTCAAGGCTTCTTTCCACTGCCTCTGGGGACCTCTCTGCACCTGGGGCATGGCTGAAGACCCCACCCCAGCACCATGAAGCCCTGGCAGAGCTCTGAGGAGAAGGAGCCTCAGAGGCTGGGCACTCAGAACCTACCCACTGCACGCGGAGTTCCTCCTCCAGCCCCACAGGCATCGCTGGAGATGGGATCCTGGGAGCCGGTAGCAGCACCAGGCCAGGCCGGCCCCGGGGAGCAGAGGCAGCAGGAAGCTAAGGAGCACAGCCAGCAGGAGGGCATTGTGTTCTGTGGAGGACAGGATGGGGCTGAGTCCTGAGCACGTGCACCACCTCTGCTCCTGTCCCCTTTTTCCCCCATTGGCGCACTTTCAGGCTGCATGGGGCCACTGTCCACGCTACCACCGAAGCCTGCCTTGTCACAGAAGGGTGGAGCCCAGCCTGGAGCGCAGTGGCAATTATGGTTGCTATTACACACCTGCAGAGGGGAAGAGAAGGGAAGGAGGGTCACGTGGGACCCCAAGGTCCCCCCCCCCCCCAGCTACTCACCCCACGGTTGTGGCAGGCAGTCAGGCAGTGCTCCAGCTCCTGGGAGGTAGTGTCCTGGCAGCGCCTGTCCTGGCACACCTATGGGTGGTGCACACACTGGGCAGTGAGCGGGAAGGCTTTGACTTGCGGGACTCAAGTGGCAAGGAAGGTCAGGTGGGCAGGGCTCACCATTCTAGGTCCACATTGGGTGCCTGGCTCTACCAGGCCCAAGTCAAGCAGGTCCAGCTGGGCACCAGGGAGTGCAAAGGCTCCCCGACAGGTCACCTCATGGCCATCTAGGTGAACAGTGAAGTTCACCGGCACCATGTGCGGCACAAGTGGGCTCAGCTCCCCACCCTGGCACTGCAGCTTCCCACACTGAGCATCTCTGGGGAGGAAGGAGAGGGTGGTCAACAGCGTGAAGTGCCCGCTTTCCCCCACTCACTCTGCAACTTCGCTCCACTCCCCACCTCTGTGCACAAGGCACGAAGCGGCTCTCGCTGTCCTGGCCACAGTTCCCATGGGCGTCTCCGGCAGAGTTCACGACCTGGAAACAGGCCTCCGGGGCTGGGCGGGAGCCTGAGGAAGCATGGGCCCAGCTGCCTCAGTTCTCCCTGCCAATCTTCCCCACAGTAGAAAACTGGGCCGACGCGAGGATGGGGACTGGGTGCAAGGGCGCGGCGTAGTCTCACCAGGCCCCCAGAGCTGCTGACACTGCTGCTCGAGCGTGGGACACGCGCCGTCCCGGCAGTAGCCGTGGCCTCCGGCGCAGGGCGAGCCATCCAGTAGGTAAACGTCCGGGGGACAGTGGAGAGAGGCGCCCGTGCAGAATTCGGGCAGATCACACTCGCCCGCGGCCAGGCGGCACGGCGAGCCCGCAGGCTTCAACTGCGCGGGTGACCAGATACGGGGAGGGCAGAGAGACAATGGACCGTGAGAGATCCACACCGGGCGGCTGAGGTGGGGGCGCGGCGGGGGCGAGGCGTACCCATGCGCAGAGCAGCGCCTGCACCCATCAGGGGCACCGAAGGGCGCCAACCAGCCGAGACCAGCAGGCCGGCTCCCAGGCACCCCGCGCCGCTCACCCCCGAGCCTCTCATGCCCTCACCAGGCAGCGCGCGCAGCAGTCCCCGTGGGCGCACTGGGCCCCGGCGCGCAGCGAGCAGTTGTGGGCGAAGCAGCAGAGGTCCCGGCACTCCTGCGGCCGGAAAGGCGAGAAGGGACCGGGTGAGGGCACAACGCCAAGGATCTCAGAGGATCGGACGAGTCGGGGCTAGCCTTGTCCCCGGGGCCGGACACGCTGACCTGGCTGGAGCCGCAGTCGCACTCCTCGCCCGCCTCCACGAAGCCGTTCCCGCAGCGCGCCGGCGGCACCGGGAGCCCGGGGTCCGGAGCGTCGGAGAGGCACGCGCCGCCCCCCTTGCGGAAGAAGGCGCGCAGCTGGCGGCGGCTGCAGGCGCTGAACACGCGCGGGAACGGGCGCCTACGGGCGGGGGCAGGGCGTCGGGCGTGCGAGGACTAGTCTCCGGTCCCCGACCCCGGGCTTGGCCACACAGCCGTCAGAGGCCGGGTCGTCGCCCGAGCGATGGGAAGTGACCTGCGCAAAGTCACACAGAGAGCGCGGGAAGCAAGCCCAAGGTAGTGTGACCCGGGGTTGGAGTAACCTCGCTAGGTTGTTCCGAAATAACCTTCATGCTCTGAGAACCCTCCCTGCCTGCGTTTCCTCCACTTAAGACGCACGAACAGCCCTAACGGCGTGTACTATTGTCATCGTGCCCATTTTACAGAAGAGGGAACGGGGGGTAACCTCAGAAAGGCAGCGGAGGAACACCCCAGGCTCGGCGGTCCCTGTCCCCACGCCCGCGCGCGCACCCCGTGGCCGCCGCCATGACGCAGCCGCCCTGCTCCGCCGCCGCCTCCACGCAGCAGCCGTCGGGGTCGTGGCTGAGGCCCAGGCTGTGGCCTATCTCGTGGGCCATGGTGGCTGCGGCGCCAATGGGGAGCTCCGAGTGGTCCTGGGAGGG